CGTTCTGCTTGCAGTACGAGCCGTTCTGCTTGCAGTACGACCCGTTCTGCTTGCGGGGGAAGGGGGGTGTGGGGTGAGGGGAAGGGGGTGCGAGGAAGGAGGGTGTAAATTTAGGAATTTTATTTTTTTAAAGGATAATTTAGACATTTTATATATTTTTTTTTAAAAAAGGGGTATGTTTATAGGAGAGTGGAGGTGTGTTTATCATGAGCCTTATTTTTATTTATTTGGGCCCTTTTGTTAAACTAATTATTGGCTCATAATATATGCACCTCCTTCTTATAAGTACATTTCTTTTATATTTTTTTTTAAATTATAAAATATTGTATTTTTTAAATTTTTTTTAATTTTACACTTCTAATTTTTAGTTTGTTACTTTTTTCTTCTTTTTTACACACTTTCTTTTTTAATTTTTATATGCTACCAAAATAAGTAGATGAAAGAAAAGTAAGGGAGTGCATATAAAACCTGAAAAAAAATAGGAAAGATGTGTGAAAAAAAAAGTACTAAATTAAATATTATGGATGTAAAATTAAAAATAAAAAAATTAAAAATTAAGAATATTTTAAATAAAAATATTTTAATAACAGTATTGTATTTATTTTTCAAATAAAAATATTTTGAAGGATTATTTTTAATAACAATATTGTATTTATTTTTCTTAAACAAGATTGAGTTTAGAAACAACATATAACATCTTATATATTTTAATCTATCATTTTATTTTTAAATTAAATTTTAATAATTTTTAAAAAAATGAATTATTAGTTAAAATATTTTATTAAATGATAAATTATTTATCATAATCTAAAATATAATTTATATTATAAAATATTTATTTAATATAAATAATTTATATATCCACCTGAATTTATTTATTATAAATTTTAATTATATAAAATAAAAATATCATGTACATTACATTTGATTGGTGTAATGTTATCTCAATTTAACTATTAATTTAAAACTTAAGTATTAAATATATAATTATGTTAAATACTAAAAAAAAAGTATTTGAATTTGAATTTAATGATTACTGAATTTAACAACTTTTTAGAATTAAATCTATATGTATTTAAATAAAATAGTTTAGAATTAAATCCTTATTATAACAATAATATATACAAAAAGGGATTCTCCTCTTTCATGTCGAATTTAACAGTCGCTTGTAAGCATGTAGCCTTGATCCCAGCCAACTTGTAAGCCTGTTTTGACTGCCAGCAACTCAGCAAGGAAAGGATCCCCGAGATTCATAAACTTGGAGAAACTATACATCCATCTCGCTATTAATACAAGACGTTTATAGAGTGAGTGCCCATGAGTATTTGAAAATAATTTAATTTGATATATAATAAAAAATTGTATTGTCATTTAATATTGATTGTTACATAATTAAAATTTGTTAAATTTTATTATAATTACTACCGTTTATCGGATGATTTCTAGTTAAATAATATTATATTAATATTAGACTCAATAAAAAGTTAAAAATAAAGAAACTATAATTGAAAAAAAAAACGGTGTTAAAAATACCAAAGTCGCTAAATATTAAATTTTATAAAACTTAAAATGTTTAATAAAGTATACTTAACGTTTTCAAATTATATAATCTCATACACACAATAAAAAAGAGTTCCTTGAATTTTTCTTTTAAGATAAATTGTTTATGTAAAAAATATTATCATTTATATTTTTAGTTGTTTAATATCTATAATTACTTTCGAATTATTATATATTTAAGAATTGACTAATATATTTTTTGGTAAAATTTAATATTAAAATTTCATTTTTAAATATATATTTTAAAAAATTTGACACCAATATATATTTAAAAGATAAAGTTTACATTTGCCAAAATTAAATTATCCTATTTAAATTAAGAATTAGAAATTACAAAAAAGGAATTAATTAATCTAAAATATAAAAGAAAATCAAAACAATTTAAATTTCCTAAAACTTAAAATTATTCTTCCAATTAAAACTTTATCAATTTACACTACTATGACCATTCAGCAGAAAAGATTTTTACCACTGAGGGATTCGACTCAAACACTGAGCTTTGACCCATCATATTTTCACCTCATCATGCAGAAGACTATCAGTTCCGGCCCTTCATCTAAAACCTCATGGAATGCTTAAATTAACAGTATAGGAACCAAGAAAATCGAGCCAAATGCACTTCAAACTGATTAGCGCATACCACCGATATCTTCTTTCTTCAACAAAATCCCCGCAAGACGTGTTGGTTAGTGTTCCTTTGGGTATAAACATCAACAAAATGATCAGCGTCTGTTGTTCTCTTTTTCGTCTAGTGTTCTTTTCTTTCGTAGAGAACTCCTTGTTTCAAAAGCTTCAGGTTCTTTACTAACAGATTGATCAGATTTGCCAGCATTTCTGTCCCAAAATGGCACGCTACTGTTAGATGATGCTGCCCTTCGAAAAGTCCTTGATGCTGCTTTCAAGTGTACATCTGGGTCCAAAAAATTACCCTCTGCCCTAGGGACGCATGCAGCATTTTCCGGTCTGGATTTGGACCTTTTATGTGTTGGTTTATTCACACTGGCATTTGTTTCATTAATAATGGTGTTATTTTCTTTCCTCGGGTTGAGGTTGGGGACTTCGAAATTCTGTGGCTGCGGCGAAGGTGGTAGCCGATCTGGAACAATAATTACCGTGGATGTCCGCGATTTCTTCCTCTCATTTCCATTATTGGTATTTGATTTGACCTGCGATTAGGAATGGTAATGCTTAACGGAACACGGCAGACAAGATAGCAAGATAGACATGAAAGGAGAAAAAATACGATAAAAAGGCCATCTTGATACAATGTAAAGCACAAACACATTATTTCGTGAAATTAAAAAAAAAAATTGCAATCTATCGATAGCAATTATCAACAAATCGTTTGATATGTAATAGAATTTGAATCTATTGTGAAATTAAAATTGCACACGTTATCCTTCAATAATATTTAATCTCCCGTTTTTTTATTCTTTATAATTTTAATTTCTTAAATTTATAAATGTGTAATTTTGGCACCATAGTTAATTTTTCATTTATTGTTGATTAAACTTATAAGGTTTAAATATATTTTTAATTTTCTAATTTAAAATTAGTTTTTAATCTCATATTTTAAATAAAAAAAATTGCTTTAATTCTTATGTCGAAATTTCGTCAATGAACCTGTCAAATTTTATTCAACAAAGTTAATCTACTGATATCTCAATTAGTAAAATTATCATATTAAATTTAATTGATGTTATATAATTGTCTCAATCTGTTACAGGTAGATATGTTATTGGTGATTTAAAAAATTAAAATAAATTTTTTGAAACTTACAAAGATTAAAAGAGCAATTTTTAAATTTGAAAAATTAAAAATAAATTTACCTTTTAAGAAACTAATAATATATTTAAGTCAAATTATAATGTTGATCATTACTATTAAATGATGTGATAATTAACATTTAATAAAATTTCTGTTAAATTATATTTTATTTCCCCTTTTTATCTCATTTTCATCTATTTTTATTAACAAGCAAAAATAAAGATTAAAAATACAATTTTTATGTCATTTGTTTAATGTCTAACTAAAATTGAGAGACTAAAACTATAAATTTAAAAATTAAAAGACTAAATAAAAATTAAACATTATAAGAAAATAAAAACACAATTTAGTCAATAATTAATGAGTGGAGATAGTGTAATATAAATGAATTTTTAAAGCATTTCTAGTTTCACATCTTAACGACAAGATATGTTAATTAGAATATTTTTTTAGTTTATATAATTTTTACCTTTTAATTTTTATAAATTAAAATAAATATTTTTTAGTCCTTATATTTATATTTTTTTAGTCTTTATTGTTATAATTCTTTTATAATATCATTTTTAATGAGTGACACAAACTTATTAAATCAATATAACGGTAATGTGTCACTTAATAGTTTAAGATTTAAGAATTAATAAATCAAGTCACTCACACGAAAATAACATTATAAAAAAATTAACAACAAAGATAAAAAATGATTAAAGATTTTAAATATAAAGACTAAATATATCTATTTTAAATTATAAGAATTAAAAGATAAAACTAATAAAACTACGTGTACTAAGTCTCCATACTTTAACTATTCCAACCACATGAATAACCTTAATGTGTCTTTCAATAATAGGATGATATCTATACCTATTAATAAAAAGGATTGGAGTATATAATTACTTATGATCTCTATCTTTTAGTGAACTATTATACTCCTAAGATGTAATTTTTTTTTATATTTTATCTAAATAACTATCCATAATCTTCTAATATTATGTTTATGTATAATTATTAAATATACGAAATGTCTCAACTCTTCTATAATATATATATATATATATATATATAAATTCAAAACAATTATTTATATTAAACATTTAACAATTTTAAATATTTATTTTTAGTAATA